GGGGGGGGGGGGATTTTTCAATCCCACTTTGGATGGGAAAAGCTGGAATCCGTGTCTGCCTTCGCGCATCGCGCGCCCATGGACGTGGATTCAGCTTTTGAAATTCTTCCATTTTGCGAAGCAATCCGTGCCTTTGCTTCACTTCCCTGTTTTTTGCCTTCATTTTTCTCCTTTCTCGCGTCTGTTTTCGTGCCACGCACGAGAATAGACGAGCTCCCAATCCTTCAATTTTTCTCCTTTTTGCAATAATTTGATTTCTTTTGCTCCATTATCATTCAAGCTCACTCCCACAAATAAGAAATACGTAATGCGTATAATTCACTTCAAATATTATGTAGTCTCCCGCAACTCACACGACAAATGAGATGAAAATACACTCAAAATCCTACACTTTTGGCCATTTATCATTCAACTATGCTAAAAAGACCCTAGATCAAAAGTTTTTCTTTAACCGGTAATGGGGTGGGTTCAATGATTTCTCTTATCTCAAATGTTTTTCATTATCGTCTCCTTTTATTTATATTTTTAGCTGTTACACTATGTTGAAGTTTAACATCGATCTATATCATGATAAAACTTATGTTGTCTCTCACCTCAAAACTAAAAAGGGCCGGGCCGTATTGATTATTATACAAGGATATTTTGAGCTATGGAAGAAATAATCTAAGGTAGATGAGGGTATTCGTTTACACTTAATAGAAATTGATATCAGCTTGTGAATACAAAACTTAATTAAAAGATAAGCATTGTAGAATATTTGCAAGTTTGTTATTAGTATTCCTACAAGGACCAATTAGGCTAAAAAGAATCTACAACAGTACAACAACAACAACAATAACATATTCAGCATAACTTCATATAATGATTGAGTAATTAATTCCTACTTGATCGTGCACAAATTCAAATTAGTAGCGTAAGATAGATTTTGTGCAAGTGCTACGAGCCCTTGTCATTATTTGGCCTATTTGGGTATGAGATTGCCTATTGTCACAATTCAACTTGTATGTTTGGTTTGTGATATTGATGGTTTTAGAGTTTTACTTTCTCTTTGAAAATCGATATATATATATATATATATATATATATATATATATATATATATATATATATATATATATATATATATATATATATATATATATATATATATATATATATATATGAAGTCAAACTAAATACTCCACTATAGGAATACTATTTGCAAAATTAAAAGAAAAACTTTTTGCAATACTGTGTCATATGAAAGAGTGTCGTCGCTGTGCCACTGGTCCAAGTTGTCATTGCATTGTACAACAAATCCTTCCTCAATAATACTTGAGAGTCCCAAACCTCCAAATAAACCAACAAAAAAGTAAAACGAGTTTGGAAAACAAACATATTGCTTCTACATCTCTGTTAGATTTTTTGTTTGTTTTTTCCTATTCTCTGCAACCTAATGCCTTGGATCTCAAGAACATATCTATTGATTAATGTGCTTTTGCTTCTGTTAGTAGTTTAACAGAAGCGGGACGAATTCTACTTTCCTAGATCATAAGTAAAATCTAATATTTGAATCTTTTTTTTTTATAACCATTGTATGCAGGCTAACTTGTGTGCACCTTGACTAATTCCAGGGGTTACCTGCTAACTCCCACCAGATTTAAATCCATTCATATATGAAGAAGAATATAATAGTCAAATTGCATAATTTTAAATGTAGTTATTTTTTGTCCATGTCCAGTTTTTAAGCTTGGATTAGTTTCTATTAATTTACGAATCAAAAGATATTTAGAGTAAGGAAGAATCTTGGCCCTAGCCCAATTTTTGGGGCAGGGAGAAAAGAAAATTTTACCTCATATAGCAAAGGTTTACACCATATTTATTATAAATAAAAACTTTTTTAAAATATTATTTTCTATAGCTACTTTTTATTTTTTATAGCAAAATATTATTTTTTATTGTCTGTTTGACCAAAAAGTATGAGACCTTTTGTTAAACTAATTAAATAAGAAAATAAAGGGTAAATCTTAGTTAAACATAATAACTTCTAGATCTGAAGAATATTTGTACGAATAATGTGGGAGTGCATTAAAACCGATTTAATATAATGTATAATAAATGATGCTACTATTAATGAGTGAGGAATAATGATAAGCAATAAATATGCTAAATGACAACGAATGTAAATAGAGAGAATGATTCACCCAATATTGAATGAGGTGGATGATTCTTCTCTCTGACAATGATGTAAGACAAGAATATGAGAGAATATTATACACTTTCTCGGATCTTGTGGAAATGACAATGGATAGAATGCAAAGATCGAATCTCTCTCAGAAAGTTGTTCTTTGTATTTATCTAGAGAGCTTGCTTTTCAAAAGTGTTCTTATGAAATGGAATATTACATACTCTTTGCCTTCTCTCTCCTGCTATTTATATGAGATATTCATGAAAAAACCCTAATGGGTACAACAGAAGGAATGAGGCATCTAACGAGAGCTCGATTGTCGGTATGAGCTCCGAAGTGACCTTTTTGAACTTCCTCGAAGACGCGCCCCGTCTGATTTGGGCCTTAGCATTTTGCTAGGGGTCCGCCATATGTTATTTTGTACAGGTTGTTATTGATGACGTTGTACCTTGCCGCCTGCATTCGAAGCTTTTTGGCCTTTTTATCGTTTGGGAGCACTCCGTCCTGCAAATATGTGACAATACGATTGTGCCAGTCCTAAGTCAAGTTTATTGTTCGTACCTCGATTTGATAGATCGATGAGTGGAGGAGAGTGACCACATTTCCTTTTCTGATTATGCTTTTGGTGGTCGCTGCCAGTTTGGCAAGGCCGTTTGATTCGATATTTTTTGCTCGTGGGATTTGGTCGAGTTGGCATTCATCGAACTCGCGTAACAGTCTACAGATCTTGACCTGGTATTTTTGCAGTCTTTGTTCCTTGATTTGGAAATTCACTATGACTTGATTGACGAGAGTTGGGAGTCGCATCGTAGGACGACTCGCTTTGCCCCGTACTTGAGTGCTAGCTTTATACTTGCAATCACAGCCTCATACTTGGCCTCGTTGTTAGTCATATCAGGGCAACTTATGGATTGGCGAATTGTTTCGCTTGTTGGGACTTCGAGACGAGTCCCAATCCAGATCTTGACGCGTTAGAGGCTCCACGATGTGCAGAATCCATAGGTCGTGTATTTTGGGGGAAGTGCTGACAGCTTCCCTTTAAACTTCGGGCATTATTTTTGTACTGAAATCGGCAAGTACTTGCGACTTTATCGATGTTCACAACTGATAGGTTATATCATGCTCGCTCAGCTCTATGGCCCATTTGGCCAACTTACCCGACAACTCGGGTTTGTGCAGGATTCTCCTTAGAGGGAAGCTCGTGACCACTGAGATGGGGTGGCACTGGAAATAGGGTCTAAGCTTTCGTGAAGCTACGACCAAGGTTAGGGTTAGCTTCTCGAGGTGGGGGTACCTCGTTTCTGCATCGACCAAAGTTCTACTAATATAATAGATTGGAGACTACATACCTTTATTTTTCTCGTACCAGGATTGCACTTACTACAACATCGGACACGACCATATAGATGATGAGACGTTCTCCGGGTTTCACCAGAGCGAGAAGTAGGGGCGAAGACAGGTATGCCTTTAGCTTTTTAAGGCGTCGACGCACTCAAAATTCCATTGGAGCCCATTGTCTTTTTTGAGTACACCAAAAAATTTGTGGCACCTATCAGAGGAATGTGAGATGAATTTTGACAGGGCGGCTATATGGCCGGTCAGCTTCTGCACCTACTTCTTGCTGGTCAAGTTCTCTAGTATTCCCTCTATAGCCTTGATTTGGTCGGGGTTGACCTCGATGCCTCGTTGCGATACTAAGAAGCCGATGAACTTTTCCGAGGTTACTCCAGAGGTGCATTTCTCGGGGTTCAATTTCATGCTATACCTCCTAAGTATGTCGAAAGCTTCCCTAAAGTGGTCGATGTGATATTCATTCCTTTTGGACTTGACCTACATGTTGTCTATATATACTTTTATGGTTTTACCGAGTTGATCTTTGAAACATTTTGGTTACCAGCCTTTGATATGTCGCCCTTGAATTTTTCAACCCGAACGACATAACCCTGTAGCAGTACGTCCCCTAGTGGGTGATAAAAGTGGTTTTTTCTGATCTTATTCCTCTATGAGGATCTGGTTGTAACCGGAATATGCATCTAGGAAACTTAATAGCTTGTGACCGGTGGTTGCGTCAATGAGTTGGTCGATATGGGGAAGTGGGAACGAGTGTTTCAGGCATGCTTTGTTCGGATCTGTGAAGTCTACACACATACACCATTTCCCATTTTTCTTTTTTACCATGACCATGTAGGCAACCCATTGGGGATAATTTGACTCTCTGATGGAGCCATTTTCAAGAAATTTTTCCACCTCCTCATGGACAACATCATTTATCGCGGCATTAAATTTTCTTCTAACTTGCCGCACTGGGGGGTGGAATGAGTCGACATTTAGTTTGTGTGTTGCTATCTGCTTTGGGATGCCCGACATGTCTGCATGGGAAAAAGCAAATAGGTCTCCATTATTTTTTAAGAACTGGCGGAATTTATCTAGTTCTTTGAGCTTGTGGCCGATAAAAGCTTTCTTGCTGTGGTCTTTATCATCAAGTTGGACAGGGTCGAGGTCTTCTATGGTAGATCCTGCGGCTTCTACGACTTCGGGATCTTTGATCACATCCTTCTCATCCTCACTCGACCTCGACCTAGTTGATTGATATGCTTTTTTGGCTTTACCCTTTTACTATTGGGTGTGTGTGCAGTCTTGGGCGATGCAGTAGCATTCCCGGGCAGTGCACTATTCTCCTTTGAGTTTGAATACCCCTAAGGAGTGGGAAATTTGATAACTTGATATAAGCTGGAGGGGACGACTTTCATGACGTGGATCCAAGGTTGACCAATAATGGTGTTGTACACTGTATCCTGGTCCATGATGTGGAACGTGATCTCCAAAGTGACACCGCCGGCCAGGACGGGTAGCGTGACTTCTCCGGAAGTCCGCACAACTACATTATTAAAACCTGTCAGTGTGATGTAGTATGGCACTATCCTATTATCGAGCTTCATTTGTGTGAGGACTCGAGGGTGGATGATGCACGCGCCGCTCCCGTCAATGACCATAATACATTTTACATAAGTATCTAAGATGCGTAAAGTAATGGGAAGGGCATCATAGTGAGGAAAAACCAAACAGTGGGTATCCGACTTATCGAAGATGATACTTTCTTCGAGTTTGTCATACTGTTCATGAGTGATCGACCGTTTGAGTTTGTGGGTGGTGGTGAACTTCATGCTGTTGATTGACACATCGTTACCCCCTCCGATGATCATTTGAATGGTTTGAGCCGGGGAGGGTAGTTTGGGTGGTCTCTGGTGCTGTTCACGTCCGCGGGTGAAGTTGGCCCTCCCTTGATCGCTCATCAGCTCTTTCAAGTGCCCTTGATGAAGCATGTTCACGACCTCTTGTCTTAAGGCAATACAGTCCTTGGTTTTGTGACCCCGCTCTTGGTGGAATTCATAGAGGGCATTTTACTTTCTCGTGCTTGGGTCGGATCTCATCTTCTGCGGCCATTTCACTTTTGGGCCGAGCTTCTCCAGTGCATAGACTATTTTTAAGGGGGAGACACAAATATTGTGAGAGGATAGTAAGGGGAAATACCTCTCTCACCTTGGTGAGCTCCTGTGCTTGGCCTGGATGGGCCTTCGTCATGGCGAGGGGGCGACATGAGGGTGCCTCTAACATAGGGCTGATGTCTCTTCTGATTAGGCCATGGTCCTGCTAGGTCTCTCCTATTGTCCTTTCTCCAGTCCTTTCTGGACTCGACTTATACTGAAGTTAGTCGTTGGGTTGTCCCATTCAGGTCATCTTCGTCGGCTCGTACTTCGGCACAATAGGCATTGTGTATCTCGTCCCAAGTGGTTGGGGGATACTTTATGAGGCGGCTTAACAATTTTCTAATCGCCCTCAAACCGCTTCTGTTCAACACATTTTGAAAGGCTACTATGTCCATTCCTTTCGATACGTTTGGTAGGGTCATCCTTACTCGGTTAAATTAGGCAAGGAAGTCTCTTAGTCCCTTTCCAGGTGATTGTTTGATGGTGAATATGTCATTTACCCTCACCTCCACTTTTTTTTTGCTCCGACATGGGTTGTTATGAACTTGCCAACTATTTCTTCAAATGTTTCAATCGAGCGTGCGGGCAGCTGTTAATACCAAGTTAAAGCACCCCCGATGAGGGTTTCACCGAACTTCTTCAACAAGATGGATGATACTTGCTCTTCAGCAAGGTCGCTGCCTTTTACCGTGGTGACGTAATGAGTCACATGATCTTGTGCCATCGTATATTTTCAGGTACGACGACATTTTTATGGCTTTGGGCATTGTGTGTGGTGCAGCTTCGTCATTATATGGCTTCTCAACAAATCGACCGGTGTCCCTTTTTGGTAGGAGTTTTGGGGCACCCGGTATTTTGTCTACCCTTTCTTGATGTTCTTTTATTTGGTTGTAGAGCATTTTATTCTCATTCTCCATCTCCTCCATCTTCCTCAAAATGGTTGTGAGGGTATACTTACCTCCATCACTAACATTGTGAGTGATACCTGTTACATTGGGGGGGGGGGGGGGGGGTGTTGCTCGTCTGCCTCTGATGCAGTGCCAATTCTTGCATCTTCTCGGTTCAGCCTTCAAGCGGGCTTGTCGAGAATGCTGGTCAACATGTTTGTCAACCCAGTCTCTAGCAACTTTTTTACTACCGATTGTGCCTCTTCCATTGTGGACGTAGAGGCCCCTCTACCATGTGAGGCTGTGATGCTGTCATGAGGAGGGGGCGAGCTGTTTCGCCTGGGAGAGGTATCTGGTGTTATGTCTTCGCCCTCCATTTCATTGACTTCATTGATGGTATGAAGGAGGTTGGTGCTGAGGTCGGCTATTGCTTTCCTCTTTTCTTCTCCAGTGCCTACCATGTAAGATTTGTGTACACAAGTGTAGGGTTTTTGCATTTTTTTTTATCTAGAGGAAACTAAAATTTTAACTAAAAAAATAACCACAGACAACGCCAAATTATTTGACCAAAAAGTATGACTTTTGTTAAACTAATTAAATAAGAAGATAAAGGGTAAATCCTATTTAAACATAATAACTTCTAGATCTGAAGAATGTTCGTACGAATAATGTGGGAGTGCATTAAAACTGACAAGCTTGGAAAGGTCTAGGGTTACAATTTCCACTCTTATTGAAATCCTCCAATATACATCTCGTATAAATTCGCCTAGATACTCTCTACCGATCGAGAGCACTTTAGGTGTCGTAATTCTCTTCCGAGCAAATACAACAATTTACTAAACATATTCTTCCGAACTACGCTAGCTGGCACTAGTTTACTGCTCACTAAGATCGCACCAATGTTTCGTTATTCCTAATTCCACCATTAAACCTTCCGTATTGATCCATCATATACGTTAGGAGTGATTTTATTCAAAAACTACCTAAATATGCACCCTTTTTCAAGTAATACAAACTAAATAGGCATAGCCAAATGAGGGCCCTTCAATCAACAACAATAATCACGTAGTTGAACAAGTAGAGAAAATCCAATGGCAAATTTATATTAAATGCAATAAAAATTCATACTCCAAGAGGTTCCATCAAACCATAGAATAAAGAGTTTAGCTTCTCATAATTGTTTTCATAACTACAGTATAAGAATTCTTTACCAATAATAGAAAAAGAGAAGAAGAAAGATAAAAACTCGTTTCCGAATCATCCGTCTTGCTCCTTGCTTGTTCTTGACTTCAAAGATGTTGTGTAACCCTCAAAAAGTCATTCTTTGATGTATTTATATCACCTAAGGTTGCTAAGGGGTGGAATTTTTCAATACCACTTCGGACGGGAAAATCTGGAATCTGCGTCTGCCTTCGCGCGCCCATGGACGCAGATTCAGCTTTTGAATTTTTTTCCATTTTACAAAGCAATCCGTGCCTTTGCTTCGCTTTGCTATTTTGTACCTTCATTTTTCTCCTTTTTCGCGTCCGTTTTCGTGCCACACACGAGATAGACGAGCTCCCAATCCTTCAATTTTTCTCCTTTTTGCAATAATTTGATTTCTTTTGCTCCTTTATCATTCAAGCTCACTCCTACAAGTAAGAAATACATAATGCGTATAATTCACTTCAAATATCATATAGTCTCTCGCAACTCACACGACAAATGAGATGAAAATACATCTAAAATCATATACTTTTGGCTATTTATCATTCAACTATGCTAAAAAGGTCCTAGATCAAAAGTTTTTCCTTTAACCGGTAATGGGGTGGGTTCAATGATTTCTCTTTTCTCAACTGTTTTCATTATCGTCTCCTTTATTTATATTTTTAGCTGTTACATTGTTTTGAGGTTTAACATCGATTTATATCATAATGAAACTTATGTTGTCTCTCACCTCAAAACTAAAAGGGGCCGGGCCGTATTGATTATTGTACAACATATTTTTGAGCTATAAAAGAAATAATCTAAGGTAGATGAGGGTATTCGTTTACACTTAATAGAAATTGATATCAACTTGTGAATACAAAACACCAATTAAAAGATTAGCATTGTAGAACTTTTGCAAGTTGTTATTAGTATTCCTACAAGGACCAATTAGGCTAAAAAAAACAACAACAGTACAACAACAACAATAACATATTCAGTATAACCTTATATAATGATTGAGTAATTAATTCCTACTTGATCGTGCACAAATTCAAGTTAGTAGCGTAAGATAGATTTTGTGCAAGTGCTACGAGTCTTTGTCATTATTTGGCCTGTTTGGGTATGGGATTGCCTACTGTCACAACTCAACTTGTATGTTTGGATTGTGATATTGATAATTTTAGAGTTTTACTTTCTCTTTGAAAATCCATATATATATATATATATATATATATATATATGTGTGTTTGTATTATCGTCAAGTGACGTCAAACTAAATACTCCACTATAGGAATACTATTTGCAAAATTAAAAGAAAAACATTTTGCAAAACTATGTCATATGAAAGAGTGTTGTCGATGTGCCACCGGTCCAAGTTGTCATTGTATTGTACAACAAATCCTTCCTCACTAACACTTGAGAGTCCCAAAGACCTCAAAATAAACAAACAAAAAAGTAAAACGAGTTTGGAAAACAAACACATTGCTTCTACATCTCTGTTAGATTTTTTGTTTGTTTTTCCTATTCTCTGCAACCTTATGCCTTGTATCTCAAGAACATATCCATTGATTAATGTGCTTTTGCTTCTGTTAGTAGTTTAACAAAAGCGGGACATATTCTACTTTCGTAGATCATAAGTAAAATCTAATATTTGAATCCTTCTTTATAACCATGGTATTCGGGCTAACTTGTGTGTACCTCGACTAATTTCAGGGGTTACCTGCTAAGTCCTACCAGATTTGAATCCATTCATATATGAGGAAGAATATAATATAGTCAAATTGCATAATTTTAAATGTAGTTTTTTTTTCTCTATTGTCCAGTTTTTCAGCTTGGATTAGTTTCTATTAATTTACGAATCAAAAGGTATTTAGAGCAAGGAAGAATCTTGGCCCTAGCCCAAATTTTGGGGCAGGGTGAAAAGAAATTTTTACCTCATATAGCATAGGTTTACACCACATTATTATAAATAAAACTCTTTTTAAAATATTATTTCTATAACTACCTTTTATTTTTTATAGCAAAATATTATTTTCTACTGTCTGTTTGATCAAAAAGTATGAGACCTTTTGTTAAACTAATTAAATAAGAAGATAAAGGTTAAATCCTAGTTAAACGTAATAACTTCTAGATTTGAAGAATGTTTGTACGAATAATGTGGGAGTGCATTAAAACCGATTTAATACAATATATAATAAATGTTGCTGCTATTAATGAGCGAGGAATAATGATAAGCAATAAATATGCTAAATGACAACAAATGTAAATAGAGAGAATGATTTACCCAATATTGAATGAGGTGGATGATTCTTCTCTCTGAAAATGATGTAAGACAAGAATATGAGAGAATATTATACACTTTCTCGGATCTGGTGGAAATGACAATGGATTGAATGTAAAAATCGAATCTCTCTCAAGAAGTTGTTCTTTGTATTTATCTAGAGAGCTTGATTTTCAAAAATGTTCTTTTCAAATGGAATATTACATACCCTTTGCCTTCTCTCACAACTATTTATATGAGATATTCATGAAAAAAACCCTAATAGGTACAACAGAAGGAATATTCAATGGAATATTCCATTTGTTAGTTCCAAAGCTATACTAGTTGTTACTTCTATCTCTTGCTGCTCGACCTCGACCCTGATGAACCACTTAACACCTCATTCCGTTCGTCACAGATCGACCTCGGCCACACTATCTATGATATGTTGCAATTCTCAAGATAGTTACCTTCCTCGTGCTAAATCTCCTCGGGTATAT